GACGTTAGACGTTAAATCCATAATTCATTAAACACGATGAAATTCAATATGAACGCACCTCAATCCCTCTTTGCCTTCCTTCAACTGAACTGGTTAGCTAGCTGCCTCCCTGCCGCCTACTGCTCTAATCCTTATCCACATCCATATCCCCACCATCACTTGAATGGCCGCCGCTCACTATATTTTACTGTTACTGCACATTAGCTGCTTATTTGCCTATGTCTATTATTACCTTTCCATTTATTCTCTAATTACATTTAATTACACTTCTAAAATAACAACAACAACAACACAATTTTTTCATCCATTCAATAGCTTTTCGTGTTGAATATCTCAGTTTATAAACTCAAACTATCTATCAATCAATCATCACTTACTTTTAATCTCATTTTATATGAATTAAACTACTGCTGCAAGCCGTGTCCTATCAGCAGTCATATTCGTATTCATATTCATATGAATGTCCGTCCTTCAATATAGACCATAAAACCAACTCGTTACTAAAGTAATCGCTACTAAAAAGTAAGCAGCATCAGCCAAAATATCATATCGAACCAATATTTTTTCGCGTTTAATACAGAGTCATCAAAAGTCAACTCGAATGTGCATCTATTAACCTTCAAAATTTTTTCCTCAAATACACTCACTGAATAGTCAGTGCAATTAAGGCTTACTTTATATTCTCAACTATCTACCTTTCGGTCTGATTGACTGATCAATTAATTATGCGTTGCACATAAACGTGTCTTCTACTGTAATTAACTATTACATGTAATAATTGTCATAACCATACAATAATAATGATCATAATGGCAATCAGATCAGTAATGATCTCGATCAGTTTCTTTTGGCTGTCAGCACTAAGAATCACTTCATCAAACGTCATCTAATAATACTAATTATATAAATTCAAAACTATCATAATAATAATAATAATATTCAGTCCATTCTATGTATAATCCAATCATCTCATCTGCACATAACTCAATACTCTCTAAAATCATTCCGGCTCTAAGCACTCACTGCTGCTACAACAACTCAATATTTCAACTGAACCACCTTAATCTGCGTTCATCAGCCTAACCTAACCTCACTATGCATAACTTAAGTTATTTCCTCCAACTGCAAACATTAAACTATAAGCGCTCAGTTTAAGCTTCAAGCTTGTGCTCACGATCAGCCCTTAATATTTAGGCTAAAGCTTTGGTTTCAGTGTCAAGTCAATCTTATGCTTGTTGCAGCCTCACTCTCAAAATTCAAGCCAAGCTCTCAGCACTCCTCTATCTAATCACCGAAAACTTCAGATTCAATTCCAGTAATTACCTACAAATAATATCCATCCATCATGATAAATATCACCTACGAGTGGGGTATACCAATGATCCCCTCCCTTGCTGTTTCGATAAATCCAAAGCAAATCACACCATCAATCCCTACCTTAACCACTAACATTCATTTGCAATCAATAAACTACTGCATAAATAACTAAATCGAATAGCCATCCATCCCAAAGTAACAATAATACTAAAATTAATAATGTCAATTGAATTCAGAACCAGTTTTTCGAATAAAAATAATAAAANATCAATCCCTACCTTAACCACTAACATTCATTTGCAATCAATAAACTACTGCATAAATAACCAAATCGAATAGCAATCCATCCCAAAGTAACAATAATACTAAAATTAATAATGTCATCTGAATTCAGAACCAGTTTTTCGAATAAAAATAATAAAAGCAACAATAACAACACTAACAACAGCCAAAACAACCTCTTTAATTTTGCTCTCAATCAACTAACTAACCAACCGCTACTTCAACCCCTCCCCTCCCTCCTCTCCTCTCCCCAACGAAATTAATTCAAATCAAATCAATTCTAAAACCAAACTATAGCTCCTCTTCCTCTCAACACTGCACCGTTCACCGGTTTGGTCTACTCGGTTAGTCCATTTATTGCCTGCCGGCCGCCTTAATTTTGTCCGTCCGTCCGTCCGTCCGGAAGCCGTCTATTTAATTTTGTCCGTCCGTCCGAATTTTGTCAACCGTCTATTCTTCTATCTATCTATCTGTCTGTCCATCCGCTTGTCCGGAACCGTGATTATTGAAACGAACCTATATCCAGTCAAATAGCCTCAATACCTATCCAAATGACTTTAGTAGTTGCTGCATATGGCATGCGTCGTCGTCACTTCTGCTTTATACAACTCATTCATTATACAACATCTAAACTTATGCTTCATACTCTCCTGCCTCATACTGCCCCGTTGCATCCGGAAACGTTTCCATTTAAAATTTTCCCAGCTCCCAGGTTTCCACACCTTCTGCATTTCTTACTACTTCCACACCTAAATTATCCTTAATCCCCCCCGCCCTCCCTCTAATCTTATCCTATCACTGATTACTATCATTACTACTAACTAACAATCAAACATCAACACAATTTACTCTTACTCTATTCGAATCACCCACCAATCAATTTTACTACCCAATAAATTGTCGTCTGTCTATTTAAGCCATGCTTATTCAGTCACAAATAAACAACCCATGCGCTCGCTCGCTCGCTAGCTCTTATTATCCATTCCACCACAACATAAATGATAATTAGATGCCAAAATCAGCTTACGTTTCTAGAATCAGCTCGTAAACAAACAACTGCCATTAAGACTTGTTAGCTAAACTTAACTAAACCATATCAAATTCTACTCAAATCATTCATCGATCATTTAAACGCCAAATAACCACATCCTTCCTTATACATACATATCCATCTATATCCATATGACTGACTGCACTTACTCACTTAAATTATTTATGAATTAGCAGCATCATATTTTTATACTAATCAAGAGATATCTATTTACAAATAATCAATCAAATAAATAAATAAATAGATAAATAAAGACACAAGACATAAGTAGACATGGGTAAATAGAAATAGGAGTAAATATGAGCAATAGTGATAGCTCGAAATAGACTACTAGCATCCGTCATAAGCACGCACAATCCATCCACCATACACCGCCACCTTCCAAATCAAGCCAACAATTCAACCGAACCAACTCACACCATATCAACCCATATCATATCATATCATATCATATCGTATCATACCGAGCCACACGACCACTCAATCTCGACAACTAACAACCGAATGAATAGTCAATGAACAACGTCACTATTTAAGTGCGTTTACTGTTCCATCATCCCGCCAATCACTTCAATTTGATCACTGCGCCGCGCGATCAATGATAAACAATACGAATGATCGATCAAATCGATTGATCACTTACAATACCACCACCAAAACTGATCATAGTCCTTAGTACTGATCAATTCGTAGCAATCCAAAACGATACACGTAACCGACCACTGATTTTCACTGCTACTATTGCATCAAATTATTTTAATAATATCAAAATTGATATGAACATGTAACTTTTGCTGTGCTTGCAGTCAAAACCGCTTATAGTACAACAATATCTCCCTCGAAAACACTTATGCACTCGCCCGCTCGTTTCATCCCACTCACACAAATTCATTCTTTCACCAATGCTAAAATTAGCCAAAACAACCCAAAATTGTAAAGTAACAAGTAAAGTAACAATAAAGAATATGCTTGCTATCCTTATTCTACTATTATTGTAGTTTGACAGTACAGCTGCTTATTGACCTCTTTATCTAGCCATTCTTTCAATCAACTCACTCTCTGCATATTATACGGAGAGCAATTCGGCCATTCCTCCAATTAAGCCTAAAATCTAAGCCTTTCTCTCAGTTAACCGCTGGCTGGCTGGCTGAATCGCTAGGTATACAACAGCTAATCGCCATCGCCATCTTACATCTATCTACCTGTACATCAATAGATGTATTAATAAACATGCATGAATGCATGCATGCATGAATGAATGAATATTGTTTTCTTAAACACATCTCTAAATACCCATAAAAATGTGTACATTAACTAGAGGTAAGAGGCATGCCTTCCTTATATTATGCATGTGAACATATAATATCACCATTTATATGCCATGCCGTATAAATTTTATACGAACCATCCATGACCATCACTATACTCGATCGACGACACTTTCATAGGAGCTGAACACGGATAGATGGATGCATGCTTGCTTGCTTGGTTGGTTGGTTGGTCTATTTTTCAAGGAAGCATCTCATGCATATATACATACATGCAGCATATATACATTTACATTTACATGTATCCATGCATCCATCCATACATACACATGAAAACTAGATAGATAGATAGATGGATGGATGGATGGATGGATGGATGGATGGATAGATAGATAGATGTATAGCACAAGCATGATTATCCATAACACTTGCCGGCCGCTTCTTGTGTGAATGAGGAGAGCAGTGCCTCTTATATTGATCTAGTATCTATCTTATTGCGCACAATCTACTGGTCTCGAATGACAGCTTGCCCTGGCACCCAGCACCCTAAGACAGACAGACAAACAAACAACGTTGACAGCGAAGCCTAGTATTGAACGAATGAACCAAGGATGCCCCTAGCAGCAGCTAGCAGTAATAGTAATAGTAATAGTAGTAGTAATAGTAGTAGGCTGAGTGCCTCTGGGTGTTTGCTTATTTGTTTATTTATTTGTTGGTTGGTTGGATTGATGGATGGATGGATGGATGGTTAGTTTGTTTCTTATCATCATCCAACAACAACAACTACAACAATAATATTGTCACCATCACCATGTTATTCATTCATTCACTTCACTTCCACAAAGACGGCTGGCTGGCTGGCTGCTCGATTGCCACGGCCCTGCCCTGTCCTGCCCGGCCCGGCCCGGCCCGAATCCTAGCCACTTGCCTTCTCGATCTCTCACCACGATAGCTGCTAACTCACAACCAACTGATCAAATAGCCGAGCAACTTTAGTTAACCAATCGACCAGTCGACTGTCAATTGGCGGTGGTGGCTCTTAGTGTGGCCAGCCAGCTTGCTGGCACTTACCTCTGTCATACAGCCAGCTAGTTGCACCACCAGTAGCACCAGCAATATCCCAGTGGTGTTTGTTGCTCATCCTGTCCTAGATCAGCAGGCCATCACTATCATCTAGTCGCGCTTCTTGTAGCTGTTGTTGAATCTTGGCTGCTTTTGTGAACCATTCACTTAACTCTAACTTAACAACCGGTCCAGATCCAGATCCAGATCATTCACATTCTACTAGATCGATCTTAACTGATCACCACCACCTCATTATATATCTGTCTTATTTCCTCATCAAATTCTCACTCCATCTTAATGAAAACTCACAAAATAGTCTCAGAATCAAGCCTAGTCTCAAAATAACAAAAACACATTATTGGCCACTATGTAGAAAATGAAAAAGCAATCACTCCAGTAGTCCATTTCGATAATATCGACGCCATTTTCGCCTTATCCACTGAGTTACTGACCAATTTTTTGGCCTTCTAATCAATCAACCCACCATCCAAGTCTAATAGTATCAACCTCTAATCCACCTTTAATGACCACCACGGGCTTCCCTTCCTTGTCACATTCAAGCACTTAACTTTCTCTCTTTTTTTTTCATCCAATATCCAGTCTTGTCTCCTCTCTATAGCCACCCACTACAAAAGCAATTCTAAATAAGTGCCGTCAATCTAAAACTCAACCAAATCCACTATGCATCCCACCCATCCAACGACCATACGTCCGTCCGTCCGTCCGTCCCTCTCTGTCCATGAAATCAATTCTGTCAACCAACCACAAAAAAAATACATATTACGAACAAAATCCATACATTCTCAACTAGGCAACCAACCAACCCACTGTCTCTTTATATATATATATCTGCATCCATCTTTCTTCTACACCTAACCACCACCAGTCCAGTCATATCTATTCATTTTATCATACTTTTACTCTCGTCCAGCCTAGACGACAGCAGCAACGGCAGCGACAGCAACACAAAAAGAGTCTAGCATAATAGCCTAGGCCTAGTCCAGCCCCTCAATCTGTTTATTTGTGTTATTTATTCGTTTCCATTTACGAACGACCGTCACACACACACATATATATACTCACTTCGTATGCTTCTCGAGAGAATGCCTGGTGCTGCTGCTGCTGCTGCTGCTGCATTCTCTTGCATGCAGCAGCACCAGGCAACATCAGCTACCACCTACCTTACTCAGTCATCTTATCCAGCCAACCAGTCGTCTCACTCCTGGATAGATGGATAGATAGATAGATGGTGGATACTTCGTCAACTCTCCTTCGTGCTGTTTGCTCTCTCCTCACGCTCAGCAAAAGTGTTACTGTTTCAGAGCTAGCTAGCTGGCTAGTTAGCTATAGCAACAGTGCCGCCTCATATAGCAACAGCATCAGCATCAGCAATATTTTTTTACGTGATTCGATAGAATCACCACAGCATACCGACCGAACCGAGCGCACCGCACCACCACCATACTCCTTTCCTAGTTGTTGCCACTCTCGTTTCACACAGTAATTCATTCTCTCTCTTCTGTTCTTGTGCTGCAGCAGCACAACGCATTCCAGCATCGAATGATTATTCATTTTCAACCTCATTGTCATTCTGATTTCATTGTCATTCCAAGCTGGCCAGCTGGCCTGGCCTGGCCTGGCCTGCCTTGGCCTTGCTTAGCCGACCTAGCCTAGCCCGTAGAGTAGTTATTGCTCGTCTCGATCGAATCCAATGGCAACTCACCATTCTCCTCATCTCATCTCATTTCATTTCATGTTTCATTCTCCTTCCAAACCTTCCCAACTATCCAGAACTCACTTCAAAACACATACGAATCGGTAGGTACATAAGTATGTGCTCACCCGCCGTGCTCATCATTAAAAACTGATGATACTACTCCCAAGATAAGACGACAATAAGAACTCAGTAACTACAGTTTGCATCAGCTCATGCTGTCCGCATTCAAGGCTCGTCGCATTCTAGCATTTGCCCTTCCTTCCCTTGTTCTGCTGCTGGTCATCTTTTATCCCCACTTCATCTCACTCTCCTTTCATTGAACCCTCCCTCCTTCCGTTATCGTAAATCCAGAATTCATATTAGATCCGGCAACCAAACCAAAACGCAGAAAGCACCCATTCCCCAGGTGTTTTTATCCACACCACTCACTGGTGGCTGGCTACCTTTCTGTTATTCTAGATTTCTTATATTTTTAGTTCGTTCAGCTTATGCTGCTCATATTTCTACCACCATTGTCATACATATAACATAGTAATTATTAAGATTAACCACAAGTCAATAGCAATAGTAACAATAATAATGAACGATAGAAATAATAAGCTGCCTTGAATGGTCTTCTCATATCATAAGCTAATCTACTATACATCCATCCTACTCGTTCGATCAAATTGCTTTCATTCGCTCTTTAATATAGTTTCACAGAACAGTAGTCGCTTACTATTAATACTACTTTCGTTATTAATTTCATTACTATTACTAAAACTACTTCTATTCCTGATTAGCACAAAAAAATATAGCTCATATAATCTGACTAATATTTCTTTTGGTAGCAGTATACTCTCGTTGTGTTCTTGCTCACTCTTAAGGTAATTCAATTGAATTCAATTCAATTCAGTTGTTTTCATCTGGCAATAGATATCAAGCTGAACTTCATATGAGCTAACTACTATCTCATCCGGCCCCTCCAAGCTGCCAATAATTCTGGTGCCTCCGTCTTGTATCCATCCGTCTATTCTTGCTTCACTGAGTTTTAAGGAAGGCTGCACCATCAAACTGAGAAATTTTAGAGTTATAGCAACCAATATATCATGCAAAAATAGCGAATAGCGAGCCAGCACTTTTACGATATATTTAGGTTCGTGGTTGAAAAATAAAGCAAAAAACAAAATTTTGGTCATCATTCGACAATCCACAACAATCCACAACGCTACCATACTCGCTCTCATCTCGTACCCCATCCATCTCGATCCTCTTATCCGTCCGTCATTCACACTCCAGCCAGCCAGCCAGCTATCAAAATCGAGAGATTCTTTTCGTTTCTTGTTGTTTTTTTTTTCAAAAACAATTTCATGCTTTTTTTGTTTGTTTGTTTGCTAAGCTTTTCATCTTAAAACAACGAATGCAGATTAAAAATTCCATCCACGCATCCATCCATGCATGCATCCAGCCCAATTTTGCTTCCTCCACTTATATAATCTCGTCTCATTCAAGCATTCTTTCCATTTGCATGGTACCACAGCACAGCACATTCGTTCGTGCATGCTCCCTTCACTCACTCAACACAGCAGCTTCATTCTCATTTAAATTACACCCATTCAAGACAATAACGTTTCTATCTCTTCATTACTCTATCCGGTCCCTTTCTAACGTCCACCCATCCATCCATCCATCAACATATACACCCAGCATACGACGAACGGCCTTATCTTACCATGCATCTATTGATTTGCTAATGCTACTGCTATCCATCCATCCATTTTTCATTGCTTTGTTTATTTAAGCTCTTTTCTTGTATGATTAATAGTCATTATTTATAGCCTCAAGCTGTCCTCTAGCCTCCACATAGAACACAACAAAATAATAGCCTTATACTCAAGAGTACCATACATCACACCGTATCATCTTTCATACATCGTTTGTGCCTTCTCATACATATTATGATTGCCAGCCATTACCATTTCGTATCCCTCTTCGATTTCGATTGCAAACAACCAATAGATACTAATTGCTCTTCAGCAAACAAAACACTCTCATATTCAGCCCATAATTACATAACAATGCGGATACGTCGATCGCATATCACTAATTGAAGAGAATAAACAATCGCCATTGCTTCTAGTCACAATTGCTTCAAATAATAATTCTCCGGGTGGTCCATTATCCTCTTGGATGGTCTGCTACCCCCAACTTACCTAAAAAATGGATATTTCCCCCTGCGGGTACCCTTCCTTGGAACAGCGCATAGAGATTAGGATTAAATGATAATGGATGAGAGAATACACTATAAAACTAGTGATGCTCACCATCCAGCTAGTGAAGCATAGATTATTTCCAGTAATTAAAATGGAAAACTGGCCAATGGGTAGTAGGTGGGTAGGGTGAGGGTAATTTCAAGTGCTCATTAAAATTACAAATTAAGCGCACTCAAGATCTTCTATCCATTTACATTTAACTACCCACCCAACCATCTTATTATTTATCCATCATATTATCATGCTCATTCAAAAGCATATGCTTATTCCCTTAATAGTACCTACGCAATGCAATCTGCCTGCCTGTTGACTACTCACAACGCTAACCACTTCAATTCAATATATTTCATGTCCACAAACCAGCTACTATCTAATCACTCTATCCATCCATCCATCTCATAGCAACCAATTGCGACAAGCAGCAATAATCCCAAGCCCACAACAACAATACATCCATACTCCTTCCTATATACACGAATGTATGAATTCACATGTTTTCAAACATTACCGCACACTATCCTATCATCTTTAGTTTGAACAATGAAGAAGCCTACCTACTTCTACTCTCTTACCACTTAAGGATTGATTAGTCCAGATAAAATCGCGAATATTTCATTCAATAAATCAATACCCAACTTATATTTATGTACTGTAATCGATAGGCTTGCCTCCTCTTCTGTATTTCATTATATAATAAATTCCATGTGTCATGCATACAGCTTCATGCTCAAGCTTACGCTCCATCAATTCACTCACTTATTCGTCGTATTCATACTCTCAACTATGAGAAATTTTTGAAGAAAACAAACTAATTTCATTTTAGAAATAACGCTTTTAAATATCACTTAAATTGTTGCTCTCAACCGATCGCAAAAACACCTCCTCAACTAAAATCACCATAATAAAATGTTCCCGGGCGATCATCTGCTGCTGTTATTATCAAAACGCCAACGATAAATCGACGTCGTCTATCCGATTGAATTGACTCGAATCAACCCCCTCCCCTCTAAATGTATAAACAAATTTCAGCCGGAAATAGGATGGAGTCGAGTTCAGATACAACCGAAGTCACAGGAGTCACATCGACGACCAGTACGCTTGGAGGTGATGGCGGTGGAACAGCTGCAGCTAGTGGTGCGATGACCGGTCCAACCATTGACCTAATTCCACATCGTGTCCCAGACAGTCCTGGGTCACGTTCCAATTATGGCGAATTCTATTGGTGAGTTACTTACTTACTTACTGCTTTGCCTCTCCTCTTACATAGACTACAACAGCTAACAGCGCCCCTTATCTATCCTTCTTTCATTTCACAATACCAATTACTAATACCTAATCTCAATCTCACCTTTAATTCTTCACTTTATCACTAATCAAGCAAACAATACAGCACAACCCTAATCTAATCAACTAATCAAAACTAACCGTAAAATTAAAACAAAGTTGCTATTTCTATTTCCGGGATGAATACAGGGACACGAATGGTGAGAGTGGCTACCATGGTGGTAATGGTCTAGGTGCTGCTGGTGGCCCAATGTATGACAGTGATCTCCTTTTACTCGACCCAAATGATACAACATCATCCACACTACATCATCATAACATCTATCGATCTGGTGCTGCTGCTGCTGCTGCTGGTGCAGTGGGGGGTGCGGCCAGGTTCGGTGCAGGTTCATCGTCCGCAGCACGTCTCGATCGTACTCAGGAGGACTTGAGCAAGTACAAGCAACGCATCGATGCCAACGTCGAACAGCAAAAGGAATACTCCGACATGATGGCCGGTTTACAACAAAAGGTCTACCTCCTGCCTTATCTAATCTGCTCTATGGATTTGCATAGCTCCATCTTTAGCTATACACTAAGCAACCACTATATCAGCCATGTAAAAGAATAACAATACAGGATACTTTACTAGTTTGAATAATGATGACTGCTGGCATGTTAATGAATCTAGCAATCGCCCTGCTATTAAAACAAATAAATTCTAAAGGTACAAGAATACAGACGTCATATTGCGGAACTAGAAGGTAAACTGTTATCGCGTCGTGGTGCTACTGTTGAAGATCCGTCAACATTCACCATCATCGATTCAAGCGTTTTCCCGGAATACGGTAAATACGCTAAAGATGACATGGCGTGGAGTCCGAAAAGACGTTATGCAGCTGATGATATGCAAATGCTCAACGATTATCAGTTCGTGACACGCCTGGACGAGGAAAGACGCAGGTACGTATACTGACTACTACTCATTTATCAATCACTCAACATCACCAACAAGTGATATCACTGATATCACTACTCATTTATCACCAATATCACAATATCACTGATAAGACCACAACTTAATTAATTGAAATATTAAGTGAATTAGTTAAATATTAAGTGAAATAGTCGTCAAACATTTCTACAATGCCACCCACAATTACTCAAAATAATAATTTAGGAATGAAGACTTCCGTATACAACTAGAACAAGAACGTATACAAAACGATCAACTACAACACGAGATCGAGCGTATTCGTCAGCAGTTCGAGTCGAATATTCGTGAAAAGGAACGAATCTACCACAATCGCGAACGGGTATGTCTGTCCTCTCCTATTTGCAAAACAATCACAAACATTACAATCCAAACAACTGCTAATCCTGCTAATAAGCCAAAAACACGCTCTACGCTCTACGAACAGATCCAATTCGATCCACAAATTGGATCTATTGGATCTATATTGGATCTATCCAAATTGGATCAGTTTTGACTGATCAGTCAAAACTGCATGATGCACCACGCTCTTATGACGGCTAGTCTTCTGTTCACATCAAATCAACAATCATCAAAATGTTATGTAAATCTCAATATAAACTAGTTAGAAGATTGCAGAATCTATCGCAATATTTGAGCGAAGAGCAGAAGAAGATGATGGATCTATGGACAGAGCTGCAAAGAGTGCGTAAACAGTTTGCCGATCTCAAGGATCGAACGGTCACGGATCTCGAGAATCAACGTAATGAGTTCATTAAAGTGGTGCGCAGTATCGGCGGTGTCACTAAACAACTCAATCTTAGTGGTGTTGAGGTAGCTTATTTACTTTATCCCGTTACTTACTTTATCCCGTTACTTACTTTATCCCGTTACTTACTTTATCCCGTTACTTACTTCATCCCGTTACTTACTTCATCCCGTTACTTACTTCATCATCTACTCACAAACCATACCTCTTAAGCACGCACACACCTATCTAAACGTGAAACTCACTAATCCAATCTCAAAATTAAGCCTAAGCCCAAATCGTCTATATCTAAGCCTAGCTAGCCTTTCACTGAATTTAAGCTCAAATCTTTTCATGCGTGTTTTTCACCTGCCTATTCAGCCTGCAAGCCTAAGCATCAACTCGATTTCTAAGCCACAAAATAAATGAATAACTAACTCTCTGTGGATGGATATAGCTGCTGGCTAAGCAATTCTGTGGATAAGTGACTATTGTTTAGGGTGCTCATGCGGGTGGTATTCAACCAATACTAGTGGATATGCCTGGTGGTGGATTACCTCAAGTGTCATCTGCGAGTACAACCATCAATCACGACACACTTCTCTACGAGACCATCAAACGACTACGTGACGCACAACAACAGCAACAACAACCCTCAGCCGCCGGCACAACGCAACTCATCAACGAACTCAAATTAGGCACCACTGCAGCTGGCACTACACCGGCAGCCGATGCCGATATCAATGCTGAACTCATGACTAAGTACACTACTAATCACTAGCATTTCAATTCTCAATCCTCAACATAGTCATTTCTACTTTTACATTTAAGTAATCTTTTGACCCTGACCCTGACCCTGACCTGTATTACTCCATAAATCTACAGATATGAGGAGAGCATCGAAAGAAATATTGAACTCGAGTCCAAAGGTGATGAAGCACAGCGTAAAATTGCTACTTTGGAAGCCGAATTACGACGTACCAAGGAACGTCTCACAGATAATCAAGTAACATTACAATCATTCCTATTAAAGTTATATACTATCTTATTATTACTCTCTTATTATTATCATCTCAAAAGTAATCTTATTATTATAATTACATCCCAACTAAGCATCATTAAACTAAATAAATCCTTTTAAGGCAGCACTCAGAAAGCTTCACGAGCTCGCACAAGACGCAGAACGCAGTCCAGAGGCGCACAAGAGAACACGTTCCCTCTCACCAGGTACTAATCAACAATTAATTAACTACTATCAGTAATAATCAATATTAATTCCAGGTAGCACTCCCCTACCCCCATCTGAAGCACTCCGCAGTGTCCGCAATATTCTACGCAATCGCGATAATGAAATTCAACAATTGGAACGTAAACTCAAGATTGCTGAGAGTCAAGTACGTAATAATTCTTATCGTTGAAATTAAATTTATCAATCACTACAAACATAACAACAATAATATAATAATATTAAGGTGAACGACTTCATGAGTAAATTCGAGTCTGCCGAAGAGGCTCGCCGCTTACTTGGCAAACAGCTAAATGATGCGAAACGCGATATCACGAATCAGTACGCCTCATTCCCTTATCATTTCCTTATCACTACCTTATCACCATTCTTATCATTATCATTTGCAGCACCAAGGCAGCCGAAGACGCCCAAAGACAAGCCAGACGTCTTGAAGACAGACTCAGGGCGGCTGAAACCGAGAAGGCGGCAGCTGAAAAGGCCCGAAAATATCTCGAAGAGGAACTCAGTAAATTGCAGCAGTATGTCCTCTCTATTCTTTCCCAAACATTTATTTCATTTCACCTACTCAATTCATAAACTCTAAATCGCTCACACTCACAATAATATACTTACCGATCACAAATCAATTAAACCTAAAACATAAAACAATTCAATCATTCCAAAAACTATTCAATAACTAAATAAAACATTTTAAATTTTAAATATTTTCTAGACAATTCCAAAAATCTTCCACTGATGGTGAACGCAAAGCTCGTGAAGAAGCTGTCGAGTTGAACCACACACTCGAGAATGACTTCAAAAATAGGTTCGTCTATTCACGTCAACTACTAAAGTTCCCTGCCCCCCCCCCCGGTCCTCAGCCACCTACAACCGCCCGCCTTCGTATCTCCAACCATCCCCAGCCCGTTGACTCACTCCAATCTATCTATCATCTTATTCCAGTCGCCACAATTTTCTAGCTGACCACCGTTACAACAAATAAATTCATTACAGAATCAACGAGCTAACACGTCGTATCGAGACTCTACAACGTGAGAATGCCAGATTGAAATCCGAATGCCTAACTTCAAAGGATAAATACAAGGATTTGGAGAATGAATACAATAATACGCTAAGAAAAATTGAAGATAGAGGTAAGTACCAACAATATAATTATAATATAATCACAAAAACTACTAATCAATATCATATCATATTATTTCAGATTCATCAATCAGGCATTTCGAAGAGGTGAAACGACAGCTGATCAAGGAATTGGATGATCAACGAGCCAGATTCGATGCGCTCAATACGGATCACGATCGTCTGCTCAATGAATTCGAGAACACCAATAAAACTTCCATTACTAATGAGCAAGCCTTGAGGGAATTGAAAACACAACGTGATGAATTCAGGTGTGCTTGCAGCATCTTCATACAATAACATACTCATCATAACAGTAATAATAATTAACAATTAACAATAATAATAATAAATAATTAACAATATTCAGCAAGCAAAAGGATGAACTGTCCCGTCAGCTATTCGATATCAAACATCGAATGGAAAACGAACGCGTTGCACGCGAGGATGCTGATAAGCAAAAACAACGTAATCAAATTTGTTCGCAGGCATTATCCNCCCCCCCCCCCCCCCCGCTCATCTCGTTCAATACAAATCACTAAATCACTCCTGCATAATCACACTCATTTTACCTGCCCAATTAAACACATACCTAAACACACACACACACACACACACATTCACTACGCTCATTTTCATTCAGTTACTGCTAAAAGTTAAGTAAACCACTCAGGAAATGTCCGCTCTTAAGGAATCACTAACTATCAATAGAAAACATTCTACCAGATCATACAGATCAATCAGTTTTGCTCAATCAGATCAATCAGTACCATACAACAGATCAATCATTGATTCAGGTCAAACGGATGAAATCGAGAAACTCAAGCAACAAATCACTGAATATGAACGTCAAGTGATCATGATCAGACACCACAACGATGAGCTCGACACGCAGGTGAAGAGTGCACAAGCCAAGATCACTGGTATCGACAACGACCTGGTCACCAATCAGAAAGAAATCGAAAAACTCAACGAACTTAACGCTCGTCTTCAACGTGAAAAACAAGATTTATTGAAGTAAGTCGCTCTCAAGCTTCATTCAATACTATCAGCACTCTTAATCAGTACATTTCATATCAAATACTCCGATTCGCATCCAAATCCAATATTCGGATTTAATCGATCCAACATTCGCATCCAAATCCAATATTCGTATCCAATCGATCCAACATCCGCATCCAAATCCAATATTCGGATCATTCACGTCTAATTCAGTCTCACTACATCCACCCCACGTGTCGTCCTCGTCATTTAAACAAAAAAAATACCCCTTCCCTTTACAGTCTCAAGCACAAAGCCGATGGAGACGTGAATGCGCTCAAGGAGCAACTTCGTAAGCTCGAACAAGAGGTTGAGAAGTTGAAAAACGAGAACAAAATGTTGGAAACTAAAGAGCAACGCACTAGTGACGTCCTTCAACAACAGACCAGCCGAGCCAACATCCTACAAAAGGAGCTCGAAGAGGCTAAAGATGAACTGGATCAACTTAAAAGTAACCAACCAATCACTCATCATCTCATTTCTCACATAACAACCATAATTAATTAACAACTCTAATGAATGACCACC